TGCACCCAAGCTGTCGGTTCAGCTTGGTCTAAGGGAAATTATCCTGAAGATCCTTTTTCGGCCCACTAGCTAGGTGTTTGGGTCCAAGGTAGACTAACTACGCTATGATAGAGGTCCACGAGGTTACTTGTGGGAACCACTCGGGAGCAGAATCTCTGGTTTGGAAATTAATCAGAGCTAGTTACTATTGGAACGAGATGGAGAAAGATGTGAAGGACTTCGTACGAAAATGCAACTAGCATCAAAGACACGCCCTAATGATTTATCAGCCAGGAGAGATGCTTCACCTGATCCTGTCGCCATGGTCGTTTATGAAATGGGGGATGGACATCGTCGGTCCCTTGTTATGGGCACCCGATAAAGCTCAATACATACTACGCATAACCGATTATTTCTCCAAGTGGGTCGAATCTCAGGCGCTCGAGAAGGTTCGGGAGAAAGAGATCATTGAATTTATCTGGGAACACATAATATGCCGTTTCGGGATACCGGCCGGGATCATTTGCCAACGAAAAGCAGTTCGTCGGCAGCATGGTAAGTAAGTTTCTCGAAGACCACAAAATCAAAAAGATATTATAAACTCCTTACCACCCTAATGGGAATGGACAAGCAGAGTCAACGAACAAAACTATACTCCAAGATGAATATTTATTAGTTTAATGAGCATCTTGATTTTTGAGTAAAAATTAATGTGCGCATTGTACACTGATTTATTTTATTGCTAATTATCCGTTACGTCTCCCAGCAAATACAAATAAAATATGTATGCATCCGTGTGTAAGACAAAGATGTACGCACAAAAAATCATGTCTTTGACTAATCGGGTCAAAGTCCTCCGAAATACATCATATTTTGCTTGTCAAATAAATTAGTAAGGGATTAAGTTATAAATAATTATTATATCATCAATGTAGTTTAATATATTATAATAGGTTATTTACTAAATTTTTCATGTTATTATTAGTTCATGTTTGTTATAAATAGTTTGGTTATTGTAGGTAACTTAAATGGTAAAACAATATGATACACTTGTAATATAACAGAGCTTAATTAATTAATAATAATAATAATTTTTATTAAAGGGGGGGGGGGGTATAGTTCACTTTGGGTCATCGATAAATAAAGATAATAAAGGTATTCCATATCAAATTCTCTTCTATCAGGAAAATATAGTACTCCAATAAAATGAAGCTAGAAATGTAATTTTTTTATTAATAGAAACCTTAGAATGAGTCAGCTGTGATCGCACGACTGATGAATGGGATATTTATTGATAATTAGATCGTCATATGCTAAATTAATAGGAGCGAGGCGTGCTCATAGTCATATAGTCATATGTGTTAATAGGAGGGTCAAGTCTACCACAAGTTGAATGTTTTCGAATTGATATTTCATTTCAATATGAGACAAATAAATGAAGACAAATAGATAAAAGATTTAATCATCATTATATGAATGCATATGCATGCCAAAAGATTTGGAGTATCATACATTAACGTTTGGTGCATGATCACGCGTCAGTTTATTAACGTTTGGAAATATTCTGCAGTATTTTTCTACGATTTTTGCTTTCAATTTCGGTTAGGGTTTAGATTGTGGAATTGGGGATTGCTCCAACACACTGTAACAATCACCGTCGACCAGTAATTACAGTCACGATTCATCCATTTTCGCTTCCGCTTCACAAAGAACAAATAAGTTCTCGTTTTACGATTTACGCGCTATCTAATGTGTTTAGATTAACGTGTTCCTTCATTGGTATCAGATTCATAGACTGATTTTCTGGTCCAAAAAAAATTATAAAACTGTTGTGATTTTTTATGTGAATCTTGAACTGTAGTTTTGTAATTTTGAGTGTTCACTGTGCAATTAGGAATTGCTAATTTTAGGTTTAAACACTGAATTGAGATTAAGTTATGAATCAGTTTTAATGGTCGTTCTTCATCTGGTATCTATTTTGTGTAAAATCAACTTGTGCTTTTTATCTCTGCATTCAATGAGCAATTGAAAGAGTAAAGCAAAATACAATACATTTGAAACAATCTGAAATTTTATTAAATCAGTTTTAAAAACTTATTCGAAATTAAAAAAAGAAGGTGGTTTTGTTTTAGAGATTAATTTTTCCAATCTATCTTGCTACTACCGCCACCAGCGTTACACCGTCACCGTTGGTGGTTTTTCATGCCAAAGAAAAAGTTGAGAGAAGAAAGTCTTATCCTTTCACTGATAATTATAAATAAAAATGGAGCTTGGTGCTCCATAGCCATGGCAGAAAAAGTAGAAGAAATAAATAAAATTTTCTTTTCATCTACAAAAGTGACGGCGGTAATGAAAAAGATGAAGAAGGGACTAGGGTTCTTTTTTTTTTTTTTTTTTTTTT